CTATAAGCTGTCTGAGAGTCACTTTTCGCTAAAATTGATGGTTTTCCCTGCAAAGTGAAAAAACTGTTTTCCTCACTTATTTGTTTAAATAGAAAAGTTAGCTAATAAAAGTTTTTGACTCACGAGACGAGAGATGTCTTGTATTATGTTCCTTTAGACAAATTTACAATAATCTAGCGGATAGGACTTTTTTCGAGTTTCTCTTTTATTTTCGCTAATTTTCCTGGTGTACATGTGCAGTTTTGTTGTTTTTGAGATATAGGGCAATAAAGTTCAAAGAGAAATCTACTCTTTTGCCAAGTCAAAATAATTTCCATTCGTTTGTGAAGTTCATGAAGCGTAGCTTATGTAATCAATTATTTGTAATGAACTGTGTCTCTCGATATTTTTTATACCTACCTGTCACAATTTCACGGAAAATTCGATTTTTTTTTTAAATTTTGCATTGAAGTATAAGACAAGTTTGTTGAAAGATGCCAATCCAATCCACTTTTTTGAACTAATTTTTTTTAAAAATAATGTTAGTCATAGAAAAACAGTGCCCAATTTATTTTCAAATTACAATTAGTTTGGAGAAAATAAGAAATACATGGTAGTTGTTTTAATCTATATCTTCAAGAGGGAACATTTTATATGAAAAACCATATCCATATACATTTTTAAACGTAAGTCCATATGCGTCGGGTCGGATGTTAAATCTAACTCACCTTGTATAAACGTTATCTAGTCGCCGTATAAATAAACTCGTCCCTGAAAATACGCATCAGTCTGACTGACTTAAAAATCATTAATATTATATAATTATCCTTGTAATTATCTAAAATAAAATAATTAAAAAAAGTTGTATTATACAGTGTGTCTAAGATAAGGATGGGATAGCATTAGGATCTAGGAAACTGTAAGAGATACAGGGTGGCTCAAATTAGAAAAAAGTTGTGTTTTTTATGCCTAACGATATGCCGTTTAGAAAGATTTAAAATTCCGGGTAGTTACGGAGATATCCGGAAAAACCCGAAATTTTGCAAAATCGATTTATTTTTTTTTCCTGGCTTTTGAAAACGAATTTTAAAATATATTGCATATTTGCAGTGCCACTTTTTTTGCTCTATCCAATGGCGTCAACATTTTTGCAATCCGACGTTTCCTCTTCGACTGGCTACCATCAGGTAATTTGTTTTAAATACGTCGCTGCTATTTTTATAACAAAATCTAAAGTTATTTTTAATTCTGAATTAGCTTAAAAAGGTTTTTAGCTTGTTTTAGCTATCATTTCAAATTTTTCCGGAGTATGGTTCTGAACGCTTTCAAAATATCTATTGGAGGAAGTCATAACAGTATAAAAGTCAATACAGAACAAAATATCCAAAAATTTTTTTTAATCAATAATTTAAAAAAGTTGTACCTAATAAAAAAATAATACGGATTTATGAAATGTTTTATTATTTCTAATTAGTATTGCTAACAGTAGTCATAAAAATAGCAACGACGTATTTAAATAAAATAACCTGATGATGGCCCCTCGAAGACGAAACGTTGGATTGCAAAAATGTTGACGTCATTGGATAGAGCGAAAAAAATGGCAATGTAAATATTCAATTTGTTTTCAAATTCGTTTTCAAATAAAGCCAGAAAAAATAAAGCCATTTCGCAAAATTTCGAGTTTTTCCGGATATCTCCGAAACTACCCGTAATTTTGAAACTTTCTATTATTCTATATATTGTTAGGTATAAAAAACATAACTTTTTTCTAATTCGAGCCACCAATCTCTTACCGTTTCCTAAATTCTAATGCTATCCCATATTATCTTGGACAGACTGTATATCTTCTGTATATCTGAACAAATGAAGATATACCTACTGAATCGAAATCTAATTTTCTATGCACAAATACTTGAATAAAATGACATTTCACGTGAAAAATTTTTATCTCAACTCAAATCAGTGACAGATATGAGGAATACTGGAAAATAAATATTTTTTTGTTATTTTTGAAAAGCAAATTTGTTTTTGAGTTTTTACTGTTTGAGTAGAAATTGACAATTTGTAATGATACGTTTAGATAAATTTAAAATTATGCAGGGTGTTACAACTTGTCAAAAATGACCAAGTTTAATAAATTTTTTTAATATGAAATGTATTCATATTTCTGCATTTCAATCATTACTTTTTCATTTGCACTACCTTTTTAGAAATATTTTAATTTATTTATCCTGGTTCAACTTTGTGTTGATTGATCTTTGTCTAAAATTATATTATTGCCTTGATTATAGTTATTAGAGACATGATATTATGTAATATTTTTGGAGATTTGCAATATAATTTAATACTTTTAATGTCAGCATTTTTCTTTACTACTATTTGAATTATTTGTTTTATTTTACATAATTATTATAGAATATCTTTCCTAGGCAGTTATTTCCTCATCATACTTGTATATTTAGTATTAACGGGTTTATACACATTACATTTTTATTGGATGAAAGTTTAGGAAAATATTTTGAAATTAATTTGAAGCAGCTTATAATAAAAAATAATAATTTAAAAAAATGTTTGTATTAGTTTTTTAAATAGAGCATGAATTTTCAAAAACAAACACGAATGGAAATAACAGCTAAAGCAAGGCCACATTTGAAAAACGCTTTAATACGAATTACTGCTAATGTGCCATGCTGTTATTCTTAATTACAAAAATAAATGCATCGGTGAGCACAAATTGGCTCAATTTTTAAAAGAAATAGTGCTTTGCTAATATTGGCAATATTAATTGACAAATTGTCCTTCATCTGTTGCAGGTTTCGAGCAACGGAATTGAGGTTTTGACATACCTCATAGATAGACTGGGAACCGACTTCAAGCCATATCTACCTACAGTATTACCAAACATTATAGACAGACTGGGAGATGCCAAAGACACCGTCAGGGAGAAATCACAACTGCTCATATTGAAATTACTGGAACGGAACGTCCTTACACCACAAGTCCTTATAGAAAAACTCCAGCCAGGTTTCACACATAAAAATGCTAAGATTAGGGAGGAAGTGTTGAGGTGCCTAGTGAATACTTTGAACGAGTAAGTAATGGATTACTTATTGTTAAATAAATATATGTATACTCTTCTAGTATTCCACAAATGGATTGATAAAACTATTAAGGTGTTATTTGTGAAGTACAAGAATATGTATTTCTATCATTTTTAATTCTATGACGACTAAAACTTACATAAACCAAAAAATAATATTAGTAATAACACATCATAGTTTTATAAATATTAATATTAAATATGTAATTAACAGAGTGTCCGGGGAGGATGTGCATGAACTTTAAGGGGACATTTTTCAGTTAAAAATAAGCAAAAAGGTTATATAAACCTTGATCTGGAATTGTACTATTTTTTAAATAGAGGGTGTAAAAATATTTTAAGTACGAATAATAATAAAAAAAAAACTGTACCAGTAATTAATTTTACATTTCAATTACCAGTGCCGTAGATACAGGGGTGTCATCAGACTTCACAAAATGTAGCTTTTATGCCTGTTCTTTTTTTTTGAAATGCCGTTCTGTAATTTATTGAAACACATTTATGAAAAAAATAGTCTTCTCAAATGTTTATATTATGTTTAACTCTATTTTAAAGGTATTGAGCTAATTCAAACAAATTCAAATTTTTTTTTTTAAATCTTATGTGCAGTCAATTGGTGATACCAAAAATATGTATATCTAATTGTAACACAGCTCTACAAAAAAATTCGAGAAAATTACCCCTGCAGTCTGACTATGTCTATCATATGTTTTTGGGGTCGCTGAATCCAAATTCGAGGTCTGTTAAACCCCATCACGTCAGGATTTTTCATAACTTCAAAAAATAGGCCTAAAAATGCAATAAATCCTCTATCATTGACCACTCAATCCCAACCCCTTAAACTCTTAAACCCCTTAACCCCATAACCTCAAAATGCCATAACCCCAAAACCCCAGTACCCAGTAAGAAAGAAACTGATGCACGTCGTTGAAGCCCTTCTACTACTTCTACTTCTAGTGGTTGGTCCTAATAAGTCCTATTGCACTGCGTCCTGATTAGGCCTATTGTGCGTCCCACTACTAGTCCTATTCAGCAAGTAGATTTGTACTTTTTACAAAGTCCAAAAGCTTCCTTACTGACACTTCTCTCAGTTCCTTGGGTTCCAAGTAGGGTCTCCCAAGGAGCGCCATTCTGTTACGTGCAAATCCAGGGCACTCACCCAGGATATGCATAGAAGTTTCATCTGCCGATTCACACCCTCGGCAGACCGGACTGTCTACAAGCTTTAGCTTATGTAGATGTTTCCTAAAGTGACAGTGTCCCGTTATGAATCCTGTCACTCTCCTGAGCTGGACTCTTTTCAAGCTTAGTAAATCATTCGCTCTTTCCTTCGAAGGATACTCCATGAGCTCCTTAGAATGGCTATGTCCAGACCTTGAAGTCCAGTATTTCCTATGTTCTGTCTCAGTCCATTTGCCCAGAGTCCGCCTGACCACACTGGGAGATGTGCCACAGAAGGGCTCCGGGCCAAGGAACTCTGTTTCGGATCCCTTCCTAGCAAGTTCATCCGCTTTCTCATTTCCACAAATGCCTTTATGCCCTGGCACCCAACACAGTCTGACTGTATTGTCGGTGGCCAGTTCAGTCAGCATTTGTAAACAATCCCACACCAGTTTTGAACTTATCTTGTGTGCGCCCAAAGCTTTAATTGCAGCTTGACTATCAGAGAATATATATATGAGTTTACGTTTATAACCTCTATGTACATTCTCTGCCAGACATGCCATTATCACGAAAATTTCTGCTTAGAATACGGTAGGGAACTCCTCCAGACTGTAGGTTGCACTCCATCTGGGTCTGAGTCCATATATTCCTGCACCTGTTCCTCTGGTCATTTTGGAGTCATCTGTAAACCATACTAGGCTCCACCTGTCCAGGGTTGAAGCCCTGAAACACGGTATATTCGAGCCATGCATGCTTCTTGAGCTTTAAACCCACATTCTTCAATAACTCTGAAAGTCCGAAACCCCATAACCTAGTGAGAACAAGACTTTCGTTGGGAGAACCTACATTTTGCCGAACCCAGGAACAACTACGAGGACGTAGAAGGCTTCTGTTCTCTTTGGGTTGCTGTGCTTTATTAACATATGTTCCCCTTGCCACACTTTTCAGGGTGCTTTATTAAAGTGAGGTTCCCTTGCCTCTCACTTTTCGGATTGCTTTTTGAAAGTGTGTTCCACTTGCCTCACATGAATAGCAATGATGTCTGAAGATTTGACTCATAAGAGTTCGTACGTAAGGTTATTCTTTACTGGGTTATGAGGTTATGGGGTTATTAAAGAGTATAGGTTAGAAGTCAGGGACTAAATTGAGATGCATGTAGAGCCTATACTAAATTATAGCTGTCCCCCAAGATTACATAGGAGAAACCTATAACATACTATACACGTCTCCCAAGATTTCATCCACGATTTCCCACCCCGAGCATTCTATATTCGTTGGTGTAGGTTTAAGGCTCAAGAACAATGGAGCATGGCTGGAACATACTGTGTTTTAGGGCTTCATCGCGTATAAATCTCTTTCTTAACGGGTTCTGGAATTTTGGGGTTATGGGATTTAAGAGATTAAGGGGTTAAATGGTTAAATAGAGGATTTATTGCGTTTTTGGGGCTATTTTTTGAGGTTATGAATACTACTGACGTGATGGAGTTAAATGGACCCCGAATTTGGATTCAGCGACCCCGAAAACATATGATAGACATAGTCAAGACTCCAGCGGTAATTTTTTCGATTTTTTTTTGTGGAGCTGTATAATTAGTAGAATAAAAACATACCTAATATATTGAAATTGTGAAATAATGTAATCATTCAAACAAGTACAAGTACTTTTGTTGTTCACTTGATAGAGACGAACATATAAAAAACAACTATTACAAATTTCCAAAAATATATTTCTGTTTCCACATTTTACTTTGTTTAATCAGGTAACCCCCTTTCGCATGGAATTAGTAAACAAAATTATATATAAACACTAAACTTTCACAAAAATTGACATTTTGAAACGACAATATCATACGCGACAAATATGACTAGATTATGTGTTTTGATTTTAACAAGCCAGTATCTGACTACTAAATTTCTTTTTAAAACAGATATTTTATATGTATTATTATCTCATATTTTTTACTTAATTTTGAAAAAAATTTTCTAAAAAATCTTATCAAGTGAAGTCAGTGTTCTTCAATACCAAATATCTAGGTATATAAAAGATATCTGGTAAATGTGTTAAAATTATTGTAGATGCAGAAGTTATGCTTTAGAAAATGGGCTGACCTTCCCATGTCTACGGCACTGATGGTTGAAATGCAGTAGTTTTGTAAGTACTAGGTGTACTGTATTCTGGGGCGACTGGTGAAAATGAAAATAGTCATGTTTTGATAATAAGCATGGCATCCATACTGTTTTCTAAAGGATAATTTCTATGTTTACGTAGATAACTTTCATGAGGAAAAAATTTCAACGGGAATTTGAGAAATTAAAAATTTTAATATGGGCTCTCGAGAAGAGTTGGGGTCGGCAATTTCAAATTTAATTTTATGTTTCACATATAACTTCTCCAATTTTTTTTGTCATGAAAGTTCTCCATGTCGGCCTAGACATCATCCCCTAAAAAACTGGATGGGTCTCGTGATTTATTATTAAAATATGATGATTTTAATTTTCAACAGCCTTTATTATCAAATTTTGTGGGTTCTTGTAATATTTAAAAAAAAAATTTTTTTTCAAAAAATTCTAAAATGCATTTCCAAACCAAAGTTTATACAGGGTGGTCTGAATTTTATGCAGGAAACTTCGAGGGCATATAGATCTCTTTAAAATAATATGTGTTCGCCTTATAAACATAGGTCTGGAACGGCACCGTTTTAGAGATACAGGGTGTTGAAGTTGTCAAAAAAAATTAATTTTTTGTTTATATCTCCGGAATCTATTAACCGATCTCAATAAAATTTGGTACATATAATGTATGATAGTAGGCCTTATATTCCCTGAAATATGAGCTTTAAAGGTTCAACCAGTGGTGTACAACTGGACAGGGGTCACCCCCTTTTTTACAAAAAAACCTACGCCACTGCATTTTTTACATGTCATTGTAACTGATTTATATTTTAATGCACAAAATACGTAAAAAAGGTGACTTTAATTTTTTCCCTAAGATTCGCCGTTCTCAAGTTATTCATACCAATACAATCCCCTTGTGGCAGACACTTCTAACGATAATATTACAAGAGTATTTGTTTATGTTTAAAAGTAAGTGCAATTTGTAAGCACATCAACAAAATTATTTACACTCCTTTCTACACCACCTGTGAGGTAGTGTGCGATATAAACAAAAAATCAATTTTTTTTAAAACCTCAACACCCTGTATCTCTGAAATGGGGCCGATCCAGACCTATGTTTATAAGGCAAACACATATTATTTTAAAGAGATCTATCTACCCTCGAAGTTCCCTACATAAAATTCGGACCACCCTGTATAAACCTGTTTGCTTATCTAAAGAATGTTCCCTTAAAGTGAATACACTTTCTTGATGGGTACTCAGTAAAATATCTACATTTAAAAAAATAAGAAAATAATTTTTAAAAGAATCTATTGCAAGAAGAGTGTTAAAAATATACCACATGTTTTAACATACTCAAATTTTAAAATGTGATTTTCAGCACATACCCAACGTTATTATATTAAAATCTAAAATGTCAATTGAAATTTTTTGACTATTTGTTGTTTTTGATTTTGACCACATTTTTCTCATTTCAGGCATGGAGCACAATCATTAACGATAAGCAGATTTATTCCAGACATTGTGAATTTACTTTCAGATCCCACTGCCACTGTAAGGGATACGGCAGTTAATACTTTAGTGGACCTCTATAAGCACGTCGGTGATAAATTACGAATAGACTTGCAAAGACGTAATCTCGTGCCGCAAGCAAAGTGGTCTGCTCTTGCAGCAAGGTTTGACGAAGCGAAGAACAGGGGAGAATTGTTGCTTACTGCTTCAAAAAGTCTTGATTGTAAGTTTTTTTCCTAGTAGGTTTTATCTTAAACTAATGCACATTTTTTTATTTTTTAGTATCAGATGAAGTAGACAAAGCTGTGATGGCAAAACCTTTAGTTCCGGTGAAAAAACCCAGTTTGGGAAGCGCTATAAAACAGAGAGGCATCGCCACTCCCAGCAGTGCCACTACTGGTAAGTACCTTTTCAAGAAACAATAACATTGATATTGTACATATGATTTATAGCTTTGAGATTTTTAATTTTGCTATTATTTTTTCATATACACATAACATTAATATTCTGCATGAAAAGTTTTAAGCCGAGTGGGGTCCATAAGAAAGATCTCCATTCCTTCATGTAAGTCTATATATCCTTTCTTGGTGGCCGGTTGTTGGTGATGGGTAGTATCGTCTAAAATTTCTAATGGTTATAACTTGTACACTCCTTGATATGTATTATAATTAATTTATTATTAATTATTTCTATTGACACTCTTTTGTGTTTCTAAGTAGAATCATTCTTTAATAAAATATTTATAGGTATATTCAATTCACACTGAAACATCGACTTGACACAATTTTTGTTCCTATTTAATACAGTAGTTTAACAAAAGATTAATTGATTTATTGTGTAATAAACCGCAATTTCAACACTAGTAAAACCTTGTGCTTGTATACTTAATTTGTACAAAGTTTTCTGATATTAATAATTTTATACTAACTCCTATTTATGTTTAATACTAAATCTTATACAAAGTGTTACAATATCCCACCGACAAAATTATACATGTGATTTTCTGAAAAAATAAGAAAAAAGTTCATTTAAGGAGGTTTATCGGGTACGTCTAAAGTCAAATGAGAGTTTCTGTAGATTCGCTAGTGACTAAAATAGTAAGCCTTTAGATTTGGCAACGTTGCATTTGGCTAGCGCGTTTGGCTCGGCGTTTGCTCCCTCACATTCGATCATTATGTTTGTTTGGATGCCTAAGCTTGAAATATACATCATATGTCACACACCTGCGAATTTCAAGTAATATGCTATGTCGAGAACCGCGGTTATGTATCTTACAAGTACCTAATCGATTTCTACAGGCTGTCATACGGTTCCTTAGATATCAGTTTCCTATTTATACAAGTTGCTGTGGAAACCAAAAATATCTGCATTCTCATAAGACTTCGTCCTAAATCGTGAAAAATTATTTTATTAATATCTCGTCTCCTAAGTATCCAAACTAGTCATAATTTTTTTTGAGGATTTACTTCATATGAGTAAGCTTATATTAATTCTTTTATGAATATTTGTTTGTCAATTCCATATCATATAAACCTCCTTAAACATAGATCTGCAATTACCTCTATTTTGCAGTACAGGGTGATAACATTTTCAGATTTTCTTTGTTCTTATATATTTTATACATTTTGTAAAGAAAATGCATTCAAACTCTGTACATTCTACATTTTTTGAAGACTGATTATATATAAAACCATTCGAAAAAATTTACAATATGTTTCCATTTTTGGAACCATGATCCTAGACCATTTTTTTTTTTTGTTTGTGACTATACTGACTTTTGAGAATACTACAATTTTTTGTATCTTTAACAATTTCAATGGTATTATTCAAAATGTCACTTAAATATCTTATTTTTGTGACGTAGTGGCTTGCTTTAAATTAAACTGCAATTAATATACAGAGGCTTAATTTTAAGTAATGGTCATTTTTTTGGGGGTAGTACAAGATCTAACAACAACATTTGGAGGGTGCATTTTATTTATTATAAATTTTATGCAATTTTTGAAATAATGTTTTCCAAATCCATCTTAACTATACAAATAATGATTGTCACAAATTCAGTAATAATTAATGAAGTTGATTGATTGATTAATTGAACTACAACAGTGGCGGCTCGTGACATTGAGAATAGGTGAAGCACATTCATTGATTGACTAAAAAGAAAAAAAATAAAGTGTAGGTGAAAATTTTCAAGGTCAAATGGCTTTAAATGAATCAGAAATTTGTAGTTGCATTTGCAATAATACCGAAAAACTGACGTTCGTGAGAAGGATTTTCATTTAGATTTTATTAAAAATAGAAATATTAGTTCGGCCTGTGGACTTGCGAACATTAACACACACCGTATGTGTTCCAAAGAAGCGTCGTGGTTACAACAGCCTCGCGTGACGTTCCCAAAATTGTTAAATCCCTCCTTATTCCACCCGCCCAACTTTACACTGACAATTAAATACGGCATAGAGCCATAGAGAAAAGTTTTTTTAAATAAACACTTCCACATAACCACTTATACTCCGAGTACCATTAAATCCGAAACTTCCGAACGTACATTTTGTCTTTTAACGTCCCCCTTTTTTCCACATTGAGAGAAGGCACAGGTCTCTCGCAATTTAAAAAATCCATTTTTTCTTCAATTTACCATCTGGAAAATGGTGTTTCCAATAAAATACATACTGGAAACATTTCTACATTTATTGATAGAAAGATATTAACAAAGAACCGTTATAATCGTACACTGGGCGATTTATCATATAAACTGTTTAGTGCAGGCGATGGGCGATGACAATGCTGCTTCAATTTCCGTGTCACTTGTTCCCCCACACCGTAGTTACTCACGTGTTGGCCGCCTCGTTGCCATGACAACCACCGTAAACATGCTACGAAGAGAAGTGAAATACAGACTGATTTCAATCCGCATCACTTGCTTATACTATACGTTGTATGGTACGAGATTGACGTTTGCGCTCAACGCTCAATGTTTTTTTAGAAGGCATTCACCGCACAACTATTCTATTTATTTCTGCGTATAAAACAAACAAACACAATACATTTTTAATATAGAATTATACCTAAATTATAAAATTTATATAAAGTTTTGTTCTAATACTGTGGGCAGTAAATTACTGTCCAAGGTGTCTATAATTTATCTGCGTTAACAGTACCATCAATGAACTCTAATCTTTCTATTCCCTTTGCCAACACGCTCAGATCGTGACCCCTTGTGGGAATTTCACGGTACATTTTAAATACTTGTGGAAGGCTCCTTTTCAGTTCGTTTTACACGTTTCTGAAAATTCACAGTACACACGTTAGGTGTAAATCATCACTGAAACTTACCTGGGCCCAGTCTCTACTTGTAGTTTTCGATTTAGCCCAAGTTAAATACTTTCTCTGGAGTTTTGTTTTCAAGGGCATCGTATTTAGCTTTCAAAGTTAATAATTATTCCATTGAATGGTACTTAACCCTATAAAAATACTGTAATCAAAGTTATGTATCACCAAGACAACATTCCCTTGACATATTAATGTCTTTCTGGTTTTCACACCTCAGTAATTTCTAACCCTCTTTGGCGTTTGCAAATGGAGCAAGGATGTCTTTGTGCCCTTTTTATCACTTTTGGCGATCGACCAGAACTCTGTCCGAACAACTATGCTGTCAGTTTCTCAGTAAGTTTTATTTACTCCAATTGTGGATTTCGGCATATTCATTTTACAAGTAAATTTTTTATTGATTTCTCTGATATTGAATTATTATTTCACGCACTCCATATCTTTTTGACCATTGAAACTGTTGAAAAACTAATTCCTGTGCCTCTAGAATTTCATATTTTATACAATATTGTTGTAAAAACATCACAAACACTGACATATGCATGAATTGTAAGAATGGACATTCGTTATTTTGCGCAACTATTAGGTTTTTCTGGCAAAAAGTGCTGCGTAAGAACATTTAGCTGTCAGCAAATTAAGCAAAATATTATCGTGGAGGATTTACAAATCAGAACAAATATAATTATTATTCTTAAAATAGTAGTCAAAGTGGTATCTAAAATGGTAGTATAATGAAGATGCAGATGTAGAATTTAGTTGTTAAGGCCCATAGTACGAATACCAATATGAAATTATTATTATCTTTTTTTATCAGATAAATTGTCGAATTATAATTTGTTTTTTAAATTGTATGTAAACTCTGCCAGCACCAATCTCCGTTGTATGTGCTCTCTCATCAGTGTTGACTGTTGCTAACTTTTTGAAACAAGTATGAAATTAGTGAAGTGGCAGAGATTGCTTCTGTATGACTTTGCGACATGTTATTTTAAAGGCAACTTATTTTTCTAATGTCTATGTGCGAAGCACCTAACGAAAAAACTTCTGAAAATTAAAAAAGAAATGTTTTTTATATGATTTAGTAAATAATAATTAATATTGGTATATGGCAGATGTGAATAATTGAAGTAAAATGTTTTAAAATAATTATTTATACGGTTTTATAAAATATATATAATAATAAATAAATACAAATACTTACTAATCTGACAGATTTGAAATATTTAATTTTTGAATTTCAGTGTCAATGATCGCTTATTTTGATCATCAATTCACTTGATGGTAACAATAGGGTGCTAGATGGGCAAAAAACTAACGGCCAATATTAATTTGGTGAAAAGAGAATGGCCGAAAAGTCACCACTTCATTTTATTACATTTATCTTAGTTTTCAGTTTATTCGATTGACGAGGTGTGTGTGTAACTTAACAGGTAATTTTACGACTTTGTTAATTTTTACTGGAATCAAAATAGAATTTGTATAGTGCAGTGTTGTGTTTTATTAAGTTTAATTATATAGTAAATTTTAAAGTCATTTATTGTGTTTTGAGCAGTAGAAGAGTATAATTTTATAGTTATTTATTTCAATGTTTAGTGACAGTAGAGTGTCGTCATTGTTAAATTCCTATGTAATATTATGAAAAAATCATGTATATTAATGAAGAAAGGTGAAATTCGACAACAATACATTCCATAGATCCCACTTGGTACAAACGTCAATGGAAACGGCAAAATTAATTATTTACTTGGGTCTATTTTGCAGGTTCTTCAGACTGTTTGTTATATGCTATCTGAGGCCTGTTTCAATTTATTACTGATAGTTTTATAGCGGAAGAATTAAATTTAAGGATTCTAAATCACTATTCATGTCTGTGATGAGTTGGTCGTTCAAAGCTCTGCCTTTAACCTATTTATACCCAGACATCTTAAGACCAAACCACGGGAGGATCAGATTTTTTCTTATTGATTTTACTATTTATTGAAGTTTTTTCATTAAAATTTGTTTTTGCTAGCCAGATTACTTTTGAATTTTTATATACAAAGTATTTCATAAAATCGAACTGGGTTCGAATCATGGGCAGAATTAACTTTTTTTTACTTTTTCTGCATTATTTTCTGAAGCCTTTTATTGAGAAATTGTATATTTACAAACCTGATCTCTGGAGTGGAGGAGACTGTGCAGCATCATTGGTTAAATCCGTCTACCAGGAAACATGTAAAACAAATGAAAATAACTTAAAAAAGATAGTATGTAAAACTATATCTCCCTGTACCTCAAAAATAAGGCATTTGCAAAAATGTGTTCCAATCTTTTTTTCTAATTTTTAATAGGTGAATCATTTATCTAATTTTATCAGTTGGATGTTATAACACCCTGTATATTATTACATTTTGTATATTTTATGGTGCAATGAAAATCTGGAACAAACTGAATATATTTTCCAACATTTACATACAATCATACATACATGTAGTATCAGATTACTTTGATTCTTGTGTCGTTTCCCTTGTATCTTTTAGCTGCAAACCCTTCATTGCTTAAATTTGTTAACAGTTAATACATTGTTTTCATTTTTATTTAAACAATTTTTAGCCGGAGCAGTTGACGAAGAATCCTTCATTAAATTGTTTGAAGATTGTCCAAATATACAAATTTTTTCCGCACGAGAAATCACAGAACATTTAAAAAATATACAAGACATTATTTCCGATTCTAACAAAGAATGGAATAAAAGAGTAGATGCGGTAGGTTTCAATTTAGATACAAGAGTAACAGTTTTTAGTTATCTAACACAGTTTTTTAAATCCTTTCTATTCGTCTTTTTAGTTAAAGAAAATACGTTCGTTGGCCATAGGAGGAGCAGTCAATTTTGAGGAATTCTATGTTGGATTAAGGAATTTAGAAATACCGTTGCAAGGGACTATTAAAGATTTAAGGTCCCAGGTTGTCAGAGAAGCATGTGTGACGATATCTTACTTATCCCAAATACTTGGAAATAAATTCGATAAAACAGCTGAATTATTATTACAACCTCTTATTAATTTAATTCAAAATTCTGCTAAGGTTTGTGACTTTGTTCAACAATACGATTGTATAATGTAATAAAGCCTAATGGATTTACTGAACAAAGAAATTATTTTTAGGTGATGGCTACCTCAGGTTTAATAACTGTGAAATTTATCATACAAAACACACATAGCCCCAGATTAATACCCGTAATTACAAATAATGCCCAAAAATCGAAAAGTAAAGACATTAGAAGAGCTTGTTGCGAGTTCTTGGAGATAATGCTAACACATTGGCCTACCCACCCTCTAGAAAAGCACATTGCTGCATTGCAGGAGGCAGTTAAAAAGGGAATCGCAGATGCAGATCCTGAAGCGAGGGTTAGTTCAAGAAAGTGAGTACTTTTAATTAAGGATTTACTTAGATTTTGTTGTTTTTCTATACGTTTTTAGGGCATTCCGTGGTTTTCGAGACCATTTTCCCGAACAAGCCGAAGCCTTACTGCAGTCCTTAGAGCCGAGCTATCGAAGAGCTCTTCAAGGGGATGGCATGTCTGCCAGTTCATCAAATAACAATATAGCTAGTGGATTTAAAACCCCAAGACAATATGGAAGAACCACGACAGGTATTTATCGCATTATCTTTTACAGTTTATGTATACATTTTTGAGTCAGCGATTAATAATGTCCGACAGTAAATCGTATATTCTGGATACTTTGTTTTCACACAGCATGATGGGAATACACAGGTACATAGTTTTGAATAAACACGAAACGAGGGGAAAAACCTGATGATGACTAAATAAATGTTCCTTAGAAATCGGTAACTGATCGGAAAATGTGACTGGTCACGTTTGAACATTTTTACTTTTATCAGATTTTCATCTTCATCAAAAAATGTTTGTTTTATTTTTTCATTTCAAAAAAAGTTTTGCACTTTGGGAACTTCTTTCATTTTAATAGCTGCCTTCTCATAAGTAGCTCAACACTAAACTGTTGTAAATATTGATTTTGAAGGAATTATTGAAAGAGCAAAGAAAATCGATCCGTTTTAAATATTTGATGGTGATTTTAGAATGTTACTGGTCATAGTCCCCAAGCCAGCGACCTTCTTTCGAACTGATTACAAAAGTCATGAAAACGGTCTGGATCGCTTCATTTTAACGAGTCTACCACGCTGTAAAATTTTTAGAATATGGGAAGGGCGCTTTTCCGCACTGCGAGTACTTAAACCTGTCGTTCTGGGCGGGTTCCCTTTTGTGATTACAACATTCAAATTTTTTATTTGAATTAAAAGAAAATGTGTTAAATAAGAAGCAAATTGGGTTGTCCGACAAAATAGAGGACGCAATTGCCGAGTCTGACATCTCCAACATGTCGCTCTAGCGCAGTATGGTTTTCCGATTACAAAACACACAATTTTCATTTTATGTTACTAAAAATTGCCTAAAAAACGTAGTCCATACCTTGCCCGACAAATTTTCAGGCGCTTTTTTCCAGTCCGACAACCGAAACATGTCGCTCATCGCAGGTTAGGTTTTCCGATTACAAAAGTGATAAATTTTATATTTTTGGCTTTAGAATAAAATAATAATTAAAAAACAATACTTGTCCGACAAAAAAAAACGACGCAAATTAATAAAATCTAATAAAAAACATTTTTTCAATTTTTAAATGTAGTAGCCATAGACCACCTAGACTGGCCTATAGAGCGACTTTGGTGAAAACATTTCGGAGCCTGATTTGGAGCCCAGCGTTCAGTCGTGTCCTAGCATTTGACGTGTACGCATCGCTGTGATTTCGATAATTAGACGTTTTATCATGGGCATGAATGATTTCAACCCTTCCTTCTTCAGAAAAGGTAAAAAAAAGCCTTTTGAGATTTTAGAGAAGAATGTGGCTTTCCAAGAGGCTTTCTTAAACTTAATTGAAACTTCACCATCTCAAACTGACATAGAGAGCAACATTTTTAACGAATGGAGGAGTTCACTTGTATCGAAATGTTCGAAAGAAGTTATAAAATCAATAGTTCTTCGGAGGAAGTTCTTAAGAAGAAAATTAAATCTTTCGACCCATCCAGTTTACCTCCTAGCAGTGAAGAGCTTTTGCAGCACGTCAAAAGAACGACGTATACTCGTATTAGCAGCATTTGGTGTAATGACCACCTAAGAACGCCAACCGAAAAAAACCCAGAAGAATGTGGCTGGATAATAATAGATGGCGACTATAACTTTTATTGGTTCGACGGTCCTGAAAGTCCAAGGCTCCAAGACATATCTATAGGTATGCTATAAAAATTTTATAAACAATCCCAAATTTTCCTTTGTACCCCGCGTAAAAGTGGGATTTTCTTTCTACATTCTTCGTGGGGTATAAAGAAATAGTATATTCTTACGCTAAGTTGCGTACCGTATTTTTCATTACAAGTGAAAATAAATTACTTTCCGCACGTGCGATGAAAAATCATATACAAATTATGGGGAGAAAAAAAACCTTCAATATTATTATAATCCTCGGTTGCGTCTTAGATAACAACTGCGTATCCTTTTTTTCCTCCCTAGGTTCGTAATATAGTTTGATGAATTAAATTTCGCAATTTTATACAATCTTTTTTAACATTATTTCAGATCAAGATAATCCAAGTGATGCATCTGACGGTGACGACGAAGATAGCACGAGTTAATCCGATGATGATTTGAGTGGAGACGATTCTGATTAGTCATATAATGTTTTACTTATTTATTTTTTCATTTGAAATGTTTTATTTTTTAACTTTTTCTTATATTTCTTAAAATAATTTAATTTTTTATATATTTCATTTTCAATTATTTTTTATGATGACATTATTAATAAAAAAAATACAAGTCGCAATTCATTGTCATTACATTTAAAACTAATTATATGTAACAATAATCGTTTTATTAAGTTTATGAAATTAATCGTTTCTTTTTGTCGGACTAGCAATATGATCCACTATTTTTGTCGGACAATGTCATATTTTGATAAAGAAAGTACTATTTTAGCACTTGGTACCTGTGTCCGAAATTTTGTAATCGGAAAACCTAACCTGCGATGAGCGACATGTTTTGGTTGTCGGACTGGAAAAAAGTGCCTGAAAATTTGTCGGACAAGGTATGGACTACGTTTTTTAGGCAATTTTTAGTAAGTTAAAATGAAAATTGGGTGTTTTGTAATCGGAAAACCATACCGCGCTAAAGCGACATGTTGGAGATGTCGGACTCGACAATTGCGCCCTCTGTTTTGTCGGACAACCCAATTTGCTTCTTATTTAACACATTTTCTTTTAATTCAAATAAAAAATTTGAGTGTTATATTCACAAAAGAGAACCCGCCCAGAACGACAGGTTTAAGTACTCGCAGTGCGGAAAAGCGCCCTTCCCATATTCTAAAAATTTTACAGCGTGGTCGCTGGTTTGGGGACTATCACTGGTAATTTTTTATTTGTATCTGCGATCACCAGGAAAACCTCATTCATTCTTATCGATTACAAAAAACTCAAGGTTAAAATACTACAGTTGAACTTACGATTGCCTGAGGCTTGTGGCACAGTTGTAAAATTGTTTTCTTTTTTAGATTGCTTAGATGTACAACATGTATCAAGTTTTAATTTAATTAATTAATAATATAACGTAAGCCTATGTATATGTTAAATGTACAGTAGGGAACATATCTTGTAGGGGGAAACCAGAGGTTAGGGTAAATAAAAAACTATTTGAAAACCTTTACATATTTTTTACTGGAAATTTTTCATCGTCCAAAATAGATTTTTAATAATTGCATTAAAATTTAATTATAGTATATTTACAAATACAAATTTAATTTTTTTCAGTACATTTAGTGAAATACAATCATACATTTCTGAATTTCTGACCTTTAGTTTTGTTGTTATGAAAAAAGTTGTTTCAAATTTTCGGTGACAGAAATCTATAACCTTTATATTAAATAGTAATCTTGTAACTCGATTTTGACATGAGAAATTTTTTTAACTCTAAAGAATTCCCCCATATGACTTTATATGTAGCTGATAAATTAATTTTCTAAGATATTGATTAAAAGAACAGGTAACATGTTCACTTTTGTTTTTGAAAAAACATTTTCTTGTGAAACTATTTCTCCCAATACTTCATTCCCACCAAATAATGGCACATCCCTTCAAAGCTTTTACTTTTCAAAGGATGTCTTGTGATTCTTCATTTTAAAGAGATTTAGATTCTGTATTCAGTACAGGGTGTCCAGGAAATGGATAATCACTCCGATTTGGTTAGGTCTTCTAAAAATTGCTTCCTTCGTAATTATGTATAGTTTATTTTCTTCTAGATCATCCTGTAGAGTTATTACCGTTTGGAGTTGAGATATAAAAATCGATTTTTCATAATTTTTTTGTCGTTTGCTAAATTTTGATATTTCTTATGTGTTCAATGTGTTGCTAGATACTTTGGGACCTGGGGGCAGAACATCATACAGCGTGACTTAACGACAATAAACAAATAAAAAATACATAGGACATGCCAATTAATATAATTTTAACAAAATATTGCTATATAAAGAAACAAAACCTCTTTAAAAAGAGGTGTTACATGACTTTCTCTTTAGTTGAAACATTTCGGGGAATTGTGAATCAACAGAAAAAATTGTTTCAGAAGTTATCACTTCAAAAACAAAAGTTTACATGTTTCAGAATTTGAAACTCCGTAATACAATGGAAAATAAATTCTTCTACTTCATATGGACCAACTGTGTAATTTATTTAGTAATTAAGTTAATTAAGTTAATAATGGTTATAAAATTTTGCTAAATATTGTTTATATTTTGCTTAATGCTGCCAAAATTGGATAATTAGGCAGTACTGAAAATTTATCTGCTACTAGTAGTGGCTTACATAGGGCACCTTCACTACCAAGGAGCTACAGGCAACGCAGTGGTATTCCTGTACTTACCAAAGATAGTATGTAATGGCAAATTGTATATTACATTTTATTTTATTGCCTTTTTTAAATATTATTTATACTTGTTTTATATTTTACAATTTAAAAAAATAGCATTCACATTATTTTGAATAAAATAAGGATGACCTCACCGACAGTGATACATGTTTTCAATTTTTTAAATAATTCACTTTACCTTTTGTCTTTCACTCTTTGTTTAAACAGTCTGTAGGTATATTATATACAGGGTGTTCATATTTAATCCTGTACACCCTTGTGATCTAAACAAAAGGTGAGAGATACTTTCACTTATGAGCGTATTTCGTTAACACCTTGCATTTTATGAATCAGTCGATACCTTAAATATATTTCAGATTCAACGAGAAAGGGATTTAGAAGCAATTCAGCCATCGACTTACAAGCAGCTCAAAGGGCCAAGGCAAGGGCTCAGTATTCCGCGCTGGCAAGAACTAAGATTCAGTCTGGCACCGCAAGCCTTCGTATGTTCACATTTAGTCATGGCATGATAGTTTGCTTCTATAGTTTCAGTGTAACAGTAATTACAAGTTCATAATCATTTAGAAGTACCAGTAAATTGTTACAAATATTGGCGTCATATGAAAATAAAAAAATGAGATGTATTTATATATTCATATAAATTATGTTATTAACCTTTATTGGCAAAAGAAGCTAAATTGAGTGAAGGTTAATCCTTGAGCTCTATTAATCTAAACTGAATGGTAGAGCTAATCAATAATTTACTAACCAAATTAACAACCCTAACAAAAAAAAAATAAAAATTTTGCTTTATTAATATGTCACGTTTTAAAAATGTTTTTACATTTTGTGTGATGCCAGTATTTATGCAGTAGGAGTAATTACAGAGTCCTGTTTATGCATTTCATACTAAATGTAGTACTATTACATATTATTTTCTGAAAGGCAAAAAAATTTCACTAATTAAATTAAAAGTAACTGGGAATGAAAATAAGGTCCAGAACAAATAATGCACAAATAATTAACGAGTATGTTTCATACTTAATAAAAACATTTTTTATTGATCTACTGTTCCTTGATTGTTACTGTCATTTCAATAATAATACGAGGGTTGCCTTTTATATTTGTGGAATAGACAATCCCGGTGCTGCCATCTGACAATGGACGTGCCTTTCGTTAAATTCAACTTTTTGTCAGTATACTTAGAACAGAACATTTTGATGTACAAGTGCTACCTGTGTTGTTTACAGTGACCTGAAAAATTAATCTCGGCCAAAAAATGGAATTAGCTCAAGAACATTTCCGTGCAATTATTTTTTACAACTTTCAACGTGGATTATCTCAATAACAGTGCATCGATGAATTTAATTCGACTTTTGGCAATGAATGAAGCACCATTAAAACTCGCTGTATATCTGTGGAATTCAAATGTGGTCGTGGTTTGCTCACTGACGAATTTCGTGAAGGTCATCTAAAATCGATTGTTATTCCAGAAAACATTGGTGCTGTCCGTGAACTGATATTGCAAAATTGTCATTTGACTTATCATAAGATTGAGGCATCCTTGGGCATTGCGCAGCATACATTTAATATTGCATGAACATTTGGCAATCAAAAAAATTTGTTTCTGTTGGATCCCAGTAATTTGACAAATTTTTAAAGAAATGCTTGCGTCGACAGAAATGCTCAAGAAATATGACTGAGGTGCTTTAAAACACTTCTATGACCTCCTAATAGATGATGAATCACGGATCTGTCTCTCTCCACCAGGACAATGCGAGCTCTCACACACCGGATCGAACAAGAAACTTTTTGGTAACTAAAAAAGTCAAATTGATGAGTCATCCGCCGTGTAGTGTTGATTTGGCACCCAATGACTTTTTTATTATCGCACATCAAAAATAAATTACAAGGTCAACGTTTTTCGATGTCTGAAGTAGTGGTTGGAGGTACTTCAATCAGAATGGAAAAAGTGCTTTGAAAATTGATTCAAGTGCATGCAAAAGTGTTTTGGAAGAATATTTTGAAAAAATGAAGCTTTACAATGATTAATTTCTCTTTTTTCGAACGAGACCACGCACAGCCACCTGGGACTCCCATCAGCTTCAGAGGGCCCATTTCAAATAAGGAACTTATCTTGCCGCACCTTGTATTTTGATAATGACTTAAAAATAATTTAGCCAAATGTCAACAAAACATGTCCACTATAATGGAAACGAGAAGTTAAATCGTTGTTAACTTAGCTGGGTTTGTTTTCATTCTCGTTTTTGTGATTTCGCCTTTACAAGCGTGTCTGGTAAACATATAATTCAACTTTCTGTTCATTTGTTTCTCTTCTCCTTGTTCCTAGCTAAACATGTAGCGACCTTAACTGTAAATTTTATTAAATTAAATCACAAAGTTTGCTTAGAATCGTTTCTTACATTCTTATATAAGTTTAAACAAACCAATTATTTTGAATTTTTCTTCCATAACAAATGATGAATGATATACAATTATTTATTTAATATCAGCATTTGTGAAATGTAAAAAATATTTTACAAATGCTTGTAACAAACTAATGAACATATTTAAAAGTGAAACTTTTTTGTCTCATGTTTTTTATATTCATTAATGATGCATGTAAAGCTTATCAAAATTTTGTTCAATTGTTTTAATTTCATAATGCTTTGTATTAATCTAGTCAGTTGCTCACTAAAATTGTTTACTTCATCGAACAAATTTTTGATGCTTTTTGACATTTTTTTGTGTTTATGTATTAATTGCCATGTTGTTGCTTTTTTCCATGTATGACTTTAGAGGGAGAGGTTGCTCAGCAAGGTACACAACATTTTAACATAGTTTTTCTTAATTTAATTTAACATTCTCATCCATTAATTTAAATTTGCTGGTGTGTAAAGGCTTTGTGATTTTAAACAGTTTTTTCTTTATATAAATTCAAAATTTGAACGAATTGAATGTAATGTAATTACAGTCAATGTTTAATATGGCATTCTTTACATCCCTGATTTTTAATTAATGAAGGTCAAATAGAAAGTCAAAAGTATTTGTTAAATTAAATACTATTGAAAATATTTCCAAAATTAGTATTTTCAATATATTTTTTTATTGTTTGATGCATTCTAATCTTATGATTTAATTCATAAAAATAAAAAATATGTAATATTAACTAAAAACAAAAGCAATCTAAACAATATCCAGGGTGTGCAGAAATTATTAATAGTAATTTTAGTAGATGAAAAATAATGCCACAAATGCCTATGATACACTTTTTTGAAAAGTAGTCTGTATTAGATACGGAAGAAATCTAGAAAAATTCGCATAATGTTCAATTCTTAAAAGTTATGTCTTTAGACCAGGAAAATTAACAAAAAAAAAAGAAACCCGAAAAAATTACTATGCGCGATATTATTGTAAAATTGTCTAAAGGAACATAATACAGACATCTCTCATCTCGTGAGTCAAAAAATTTTATTGGCTAACTTTTCTATTTAAACAAATAAGTGAGGAAAACAGTTTTTTCACTTTGCAAGGAATACCATCAATTTTAGCGGAAAGTAACTCACAGACAGCTTGTAGGGAATAAAATTATCTACAAAATGACTTGTTAAATTAAAATCGGTTAATAAACAAAAAAATTCTTGCAAAAAAACAACAAAAGTGCCCATTTTTTAATTTGTTTATAACTATCACATTTATTGTTAAAATTTTATAAAAGCTATGACAAGTTGAGGGTTTTGTCATACTTTAAAAGTGTGCCAAAAGTGGGCGCTGTAGGTGCAATAGTTTTCGCACAATTCTATTTGTTTATAGCGGAGGCTCCAAAAGTTATGAACTTTAAGCCTCTGTACAGACGTTAATTTTCAATCAAACATGATTCTGAAAGCGTCATTGTAATCTTAAAGACGCAATTAAGCGA